CAAAGAGCCAAAAAAAAAAAAAAAAAAAAAAGAACCCCAGGCAGAACTAGGCAGGCCCATGTCAGAAGAATAAGCAGTTGAGCCATCCCCGAAAGTAGTGGAATCCAGTCCTGCAGAAGCTACAGATCTCCCATCGGAGGTGAATAATTCTGAATTGCTCTAGTGTCTCCTCAGGGCCTAAACAGTGCCAAGCTGCCCAAGCTCTTGGGAAAAAAGCAGGGCTCAAACATTTGCTTACTCTGTATCACGTAGTGTTGGTTTCTTTGAAAAACCCTCGGCAGTTTTCTATGTCAGTTTTTTCCCCCCTGAATTTAATGACATTTAAATTTATCTCAGGAAAGGTGCAAAGCCCCGTACGCGAACAGCATGCCACGTCCTGGGAAGCAAGTGGAATTCTGAATGCTACTGACCTTTCGCACACAGGACTTTGAAATGCAAGACTAAAAAAAGTAGTGGTGCTTGGTAACTATCTGTGCCTATATCTCGTGGTGAAATGTGCCCTCACAAACGCCACCTAAGCGATCACATTTATATTGTTTATCCATCCCCTGATACTCTGCGGACTAAGTCTTCCATATTTCCATGGCTGGGCACCGAGAGTAACACTTCAGCACACCGGCTACCACAGAATATCAGCACCCCTTACGGTGGACAAAACTAATTTAGTATACTATTAAGTTTAGCAGGTTACTGAAATTCAGAAGAGTAATTGAAGAATCTGAAGCTGGAGAACAAAGATATTTTGCATCATGTCACACTTGCTGTAGGTGTGTATTTCAAGCAATGTAATGATCATTTTGCATCTTGCTATAACAACACTATACCGAAATCTCAATTTTGATCCATGAATGGCTCAGAGACCACTCCTGAGGAATACCAGGCTTTTCAGACCACATGATTTCCAAAGTAACACACAATAGATAACATTAAAAATTTATCCTTGACTAATGTGATTTTCCTCTCTGCTTCTGTTCTAGCATCATCTGTTTTGAGACAGATTTAGTGCCTCTTGAGTAGTGCCAGGAAAAGGATTTCACTTTTCAACACTGTCAATAATTTATCCACAAAGATAGAACAGGGGAACTGACGTTCTCCCACCTCTGTAGATCACCTCGAGGGACTGCCCTCCCTCGAGGGCAGGTAGTTCAGCGACAGGTCTTGCCCTTTTTAACTAAAATACTCAGTGATTTCACAGTTTTGTCTAACCAAGGACCGCAAGACCTGCTCCCAGCCTCAGAGCTCCTGAGATCCCTTGCTCATTGTCTCTGGAGCTCAGGATGTTGTTTTCAGACACTTTCCTATCCTGCTTTGTTTAAAGCGCATTCTTTAGCTTCACAAACGGTTTAGTGTTTACAAAACAAAGTCACAGGAAAGGGAAGAAAAGAACATGCTGAGGAGTGAATACGTGATAAAGCAAGAGAGCATCCTATAGGCAATTCTCTCTTTTTACCTTCTCTTTTTTTCTCTTTTTAAAAAGGACAGTTTTTGCACTGACAAATGTACCAGACTGATGTACCAGGCTCTGAACATTAGTATATGTTAGGATATGTGATTAAAGGCTAATCTCCCTAAGTGCAAAGGAGCAGAGGACCAATGCCAGGCAGAGGAACCCCAGTAACCCCATCCATGCCCTGGAGCACTTGCCTGGTCATGCACAGTGCCTGCTCCTGCAGGATGCTGTCTTCTTAAACTACATTTCTAACTATTTTCCTGGGTGAGCAGACTCCCTGTTCTTTGCATGTGTGCGTGTATGGTGACATGTACAGGAGTTTGGGGAACAGGCCCACAGGTACGGCGTCACAGGGGCTCGTGTGCCACGGGCGCCACTTGAGAGGACTGGAGCATGTGCATACTACGTGCAGGTCTGTGCGCTGGTGCGTGTAATTGCTAGCAAACGTCAAGTCAGATGCAATCTCCCAAATACTTGGTTGACGTGCTTTAACCCTACTAGGACAGGTCATTCGAGGATGTGATTGTAGTTCCTAACTTAGGACAAATTATTAACCACCAGCAGAGATTAAATATGTATTACAGTTGCTAATCTGGATAATCATTTTCTAAAAGCACTTGTATGTATGATTCTGAAGCAAAACAGAATTCTTTGTGATTTCTATTAATTACTGCCATTTGACTAATTTGAAGAAATTATCTTAAAAGCCTAGTTACTTTCTCTCCGTTATATTTATCCATTTTGATGTAATTACGTATGTTCTTCCTAATTCTGAGCTACCGATTCCTAATTTCAAAGTAAAGTTCTCCTTCAGGAAAAAAAATACATCTCAAAGATTGCAGTATGGGTGTAGGTATATCAAACAGCCAAAATTCACTGAACAGGACTAAAAACAGCCCATTAGAGCAGGCATTGATTAGCTTATTCCATCTGGTCCCCAACTGCAACAGGCAAGCTTCCTGGGAGCGAGTGAATGAGCGTCCCCGTTTGCTAGCTACGCTGTTAACCCACGCTGCCGACATCATTCTGGATAACAACACTTTACTCGTGATTGAGCCTCACCCCTTGCAGGAAGACTGTCTTTCTCAAGAGAACTACAGATCTTCAATCAAAACTATTGTCTGCTAATTATAAAATCTGTCCAAAATACAAGTCTATGTAGTTTCCAAAAGCATACAGATTCTATGTTTAGCCAGAAAAAAATAACATCAAGATCAAAGAAACCTACAAATATTCAACATTCAACAAAATTTTCTTCATGCTCTAAAAAAACAGCATCACATTTTTCATATATGCTTTTCAGAAGTGCAACTCAGAGCTAACAAGAATGGAGACAGCAACTTAAGTTGGTGATATCCCTCAGTATCAGTTGGACAGGTTCACAAAGTAAAGAAAACAGCATATGAAAGAATAACAGCTACTAGTTGGTCAGATGCCAGAGTAAAAAGAAAGAGGAAGCTGAGTCAAAGAGGAAGCAAACGGAAGTGCATGCTCACTTCTCCTACTGCTAACTGAAGCAAGGAAAACCTACAACAGTCACTCAGTGTTTTACTGTCTTACTGCTTCCCTTGTGTGAACGCTTGCACCAAGGGAAGGGCTGAAAAGGGACCAATGCACGATGGTTTATTTTATTTCTTCAGTTGATGAACGCACAGAGTTTATAACAGCCATTGTTTTCAAGCATAAAATTAAGACTACATGTGTTTGCAGGCCATACATTGAATTTTATCCTTATGGTTTTTAATAGTAGCACAACGGTAAAACAACCGGTAATGTGAGGTGACTGCACCAACTAAAGTGGGTTCAAGAAGAATAAATCTTGTTCTCAACAGTCACGCAGTTAGGGATTTTGGAGCAATAATAATCCATAATAAGTGACTTGGTTTCTTTCAAAGCTCAGTTTTGCCTCAAGACACGAACAGAAAAGAAGCTACTTTAAACCAAGTAAGATACCAGTGTAAGGTACGTAGTGGAATGATAGGCTTGTAGAGAGGGGTCCGAAAAACATATACTCCAACATCTAATGCCACTCCCAGGCATCACTAGAGGGATGCAAACAATCTTGTTTGACAGCAAAATTCAAAGCAATCCCAATTACAATTTTCCCATTCAAGGTGCACAGCTCAAAAAGTCTTTTTGAGTTCACTATGGAAAAGACACAATCTTTGGAAGCTCAGATTACACACAAACAAAAGTTCTTTAAACACTGAGTGACCATTTCACAGACAAGTGATTTCCTCTAGGAAAACATGAGTGAAGAACACAGGATAGGAGAAAAAAAAGTCCAACTTGCAGCTTTGTTATTGCACACTACAGTTTATGTCTTCCTGAGAATGCAGCACTCCTGTGATACTTTTGGGATAAAAGTACATGAAAAATACATACCGAAGCAAAACATCTCAGGGATAAGCCAAACAGAAACTGTCGCAGATGCATTAACATTAACCCCGTAAAGTAACATTTCTGTTGTGTCCTAAAGTAACATAACAGAATAAAGGCTGCAGTCCCCTCCACCATTACCACTAAAGCACGCAATACAATTTAAGGACACCTTTGTCCTTAGCTGATTCCACAGTAATTCCATACTACGCTAGAGATGATCGCTCTGTCAGAACAATGTGTCCCACAATGGTGCTTGCTCATCCGGATGCTACACTTTTTCATATAAAGATCTGCAAAAGGCAAAAATCTCCAAGATACTGGCAGGATTCACATGGGATCAGCAGTTATAAAAAATTATGATTCAGTTACAACAAAAAAACAAGAAATACAGAGATATCCCCTACTTGGATAACTGAGGCAGAAAAGACCGAATTATTCACAGTAAGAGAAAGTCTTAAAGCAAAAGCAACTGGCCCCTCATCACAGTCCTCTCATGAAGGTAGTTAATTAAAGAGCAGTACCTTCAAAACAAATGAAAGGCAAATATTCCTACCCTGACAACCTTTGGAACTCCTTGCCATAGTTCCGAGAGCCGGCATATCGAGGGCAAGATAACAAGGGTGAACAACTATTATCCAATAACACATAAACTCTTACTATTTAAATGCAGGTCTCTGGAGTCCTTTGCCTGTAGGCCCTGAGGCAGGGCAAGAGCATTACATAAGTGATGTGCAGGGGAAATGACAGGGCAGAAGGGCTATCCCAACGATTCTAATTTAAAGTAGTCCTATCGAGAGAAGTTAAGCTTAGACGTGTCTTCAAGTCTACTTAAGTGTCCAACTCTGTTGAAAACTGTTCAGGTACAGCTGAATTCCCGTGGGAGTTAGGCACTCAAAACCTTTTAGAATTTAGATCTTTGTTACCCGTTCTGTTGATGACATTGAGAGCTGAAACAGAGTCCATCTGAGGCTGCCAGAGCTATACTTGCTCTGCAGCAATAATGGCAAGCCAAAATGATACTCTGAATCCTCTAGGTTCTAAAAACAGCAGGCAGTATCAAGATGAACTTACATAATATTTAGGGTTTACACCAGTTTTCATTTTGTAGCTAAGCTAAATAGCCCACATGCTTAAATAGAGAATGAAGCAACGATCTAAAGCCATGATCAGCCCCAGAACTGGTTAAAAGTTTCTATTTCTCAGTCCTATGTTTGAATCATTAGGTTATAAATTTCCTGTAGATAAAGTAAAATTCATTCTTGATATCCTCCTGCTTCTGTGATTCCATGTTTCATTCTTCGAGAGTGGTGCTCAATATCTGTCTCAATGCTGTAAATACCGTTTAGCATAGCATTTGTTATCAGGAAGTCCATCACAGTGGTGTTAGCAGGGTGAGGCAATTCTAAAAGGGACACCGCAATTGAGAAAGGACATGTAGATTGTTGGCCCACACCAGTCACTTGCAAAATGATGGGTTTATCTTTTCCTTCAAATTAAAAAAGTTGCCTAGTCCCTATTACTTATTTTTACTTTTATTCTTGTCCATTCATCTCAGTGATTTTTCCTAGTTTTTTAGAGATATGAAATAAATGCAGTTCCTTGTGTTTAGTTTGTGTGTGCCATCAGTGACATAAACATTGCTCTGTGAATAACTTGAGATACCTTGAATTGGTAGTCCGGGAAGAATAATTTTTCTTCCACTCTTGCATCACTTAGTCATCTATCCTTATTCAAAATATAGCACAGCCCACCTTAACGAGATTTCTTTAGTCAGATGGCCACTAATTTCAGTTTATCCTCCAATAAAACTGTTGTTGATTTGAAGGTGCTTGTACGTGGTCCCAACCAGTTTTCAAATAAATCATTTCACAGTTACTTAAAACACCATTTCTTTTAAATTGCCACTCTACTACTGAAAGAACAAACTAGGTCGTAGAACCAACAAATAACAGATACTTAATTTTAGCACCTGAATAGTCTTGTTGAAGATTTGAAGACTGCAGGCGTGGATAAAGTTACGCATACGCTTAAATATCTGCAGCATTTTGGGCTACAATTTCGTATATATAAAGGATGCACCTCACACAAGACATTATTTGACTTGCAGCCTCCTTTCTGATTAGGAAAATCCCGAATTTTCGGAAATTCCGAACATTTTCCTTCGATACAGTCTACGTTCATTTCCAACATAATTCCACCGCCAGTTTTTACACCCCTAACCCAAGCTGTACCTCTTCAAACTCAGTCTGGTAGGTGCCTTGGCTCACTGGGAAAGCTGGCGCTGAAAGCTAGATACGTTTCGACCCCCACCTCATTGAAAAACAAACACAAATAAATCATGGGGACACTGAAGGCGTCTTGATTAACGGGCAGCTAAACGCGGCCTACGGAAATGGTAGTTTTGGAAACAGGCCCGGCCGCTTTCTTCAGCCCAGAGCAGCACTGGGGGCCCAGATGTTTTACGCCCCACCGCGAAGCCTAATTAAACACACACAGCTTCAGATGGCCTCGGCCTCCTTCTTCACCTCGCCCAACGGAAAGGGAAACCTCCGCCATGCACGGCATCGTTTCGGAAGCTAGTGCACGGCGCGGCCGGCCGCGGCCCCG